CCCCCGCCCCCTGTCTCTTTTGGCAAGAAAAAAAAAAAAAAAAAAGATAAAGTTGTATATATGCTATAAATCTCTCTCAATTTTTGAAAAATATCTTACCAGAGGGCACATACACTCACCATAGAGAGAGAAAGCACTCCCCATGGGGAATGGTCGCGTTGCAATCCCTTCTCCTCTCTCTCTCTCTCTCTGGGTGTGTGTGCTTACTGGAGAGAGAGTGAGCGGGAAGGTGAGAAGTCACCCCCAGGGATATGGCCATGCCTCAATCCCTTCTCCATTGTCCTCCTGGGATTTGGGGACTCACATACACACACACAGTGTGATTTTCAAGCTGCCAGGTCTGGGACTTGAACCGCACTTGGTCATGTGGAAGTCCAGAACTTTAACTACCATGCCACCAGCTGGCCCTCCTTTTAGGATTTCGGGCACAGACACACACCCCCAATATGATTTTTCAAGCTGCTGAGTCTAGACTTGAACTGTACAGTTGGCGATGTGGGATCCAGCTGCCTTAACCACCATGCCCTGGCTGGCCCCCGAATCTCAGGGTTTTTGTTTTTCTTTATTTTTGGAGAGATTCTTGCTATTGAGAGTGTGCACTCACCAGACTGACAGAGAAAGACAGAGACAAAGTGAGAAGTCACCCTCCTGAAGGGAGATGGCCACACCACAGTTCCTTCTCCTCCATTTTCCTCTGGGGATTTTGGGCATGCACGCACACATACCTGGCATGAGTTTTAAACTGCGAGGTCCAGGATTTGAACCGTGGTCGACTACATGGGAATCCAGCGATGTAACCATTATGCTATCTGCTGGTTGTTTGTTTGTTTGTTTTGTTTGTTTTGAGAGGTTTTTCGTTATAGGGCGTGTGCGCTCGCCAGACAGACAGAGAGAGACAGAAAGCGAGAAATCACCCCCCAAGGGGTATGGCCACACCGCAATCCCTTCTCCTCCATTCTCCTCTCGGGATCTTGGGCATGCACACACACATGCCCAGTGTGAGTTTTAAGCCACCGGGTCCGGGACACGAACCACGGTCGACTACGTGGGAGTCCAACAACATAGCCATTACGCTAACTGCTGGTCCCAAAGTCCTACACATCTTTAAGTTAAAAGTTAATCCTTAGTTTATTTCTTCTTCTTTTCTTTTTTGGAAATTTTACCAGAGGGTATCTATGCTCATTAGGGAAGGAGAGAGAAAGAGAAAGGAAGAAAGTATCACCCCCCCCACACAAGTAAGGAATGGTCACACTGCTCTCTTTTCCATCTCTCCCGCATTCGGAGATTTGGGGCACACACATGTATGTTTCCCAAGCTCCTGGGTTCAGAACTTGAACCACACAGTCGGACATGTGGGGTCTAGCTGCCTTAACCATCACGCCATGGGCTGGCCCCCAGTTTCTAAAAATAAAATTAATTCAAGTTCTCCTGCACCTTGGAGACATTAAGCAACGGATCTCAACTACCCAGAAATGCATATATGTTCCACATCATGGCAGTTCTAACAAAATATAGATTCAGAGACTTCCAAAATTATACACGGTAATGTCAAAGACTCACATTAGGATATAGTTGGAAAACCCTTTCTAAATCTTTTTACAATTTTGGTATGTTTTTCCCATAATTTTTCACTTAGGATAAAAGAAATATAAGGATTAATGGGGAAGCCTTTATATTACCATCTCAATTTCTCTTTTCTTTTCTCTTAGGAACCTCATGGATGGGTTGTGGATTTGGTAAATAAGGTATACAACTTTTATTGATATGGTCATGTATGTTTTTCGTATTCGAATGAGAATTCTGAGAGCTTGACAGTTTAAGCAAATGGCAGCTACAGGGAGTAGTCAGGAATTTTTCCCAAGGAGCTAAGCTTTACGGTCCCTTCCCTTTTTGGTATGTACACCGTGTGCAGGTGAACACCAGCTTTCGGACATGGCCCATCACCTGCGCTGCGCCACAGGGGCGTTAGAGTTGCTTTCATGGTTACTCTCTGGAGACCACGATACAGAACAGGGAAGCAGTGGAATGTTAGCCTTAGTTCCCTGCTTACATTTGTTAATGTATAGCGTGCTAAAATCGATTTTACATTTTTTTCTCTTCAGTTTGGAGAATTAGGTGGATTTGCAGCAATCCAAGCCAAGCTTCACTCAGAAGATATAGAACTTGGGGTAAGTTAAACCACTGTCTGTACCCAGTATGGATGTTACAAACAGGGGACCGAGTCTGGGCACGTGAGGTTAAATGTCATTTTGAAAGGTAATCCTTAGAGCAGATTCCATGGTTCTAATAACCAAAGAAATGTTTACATCTAGTCATAACCAAATTTCCATGGAGAGTGTTTGGTTTTTTACTTCGTTATTTTCCCTTTCCCCGTACTACTTTTCTCTTAATTTATGATGATTACATGAAATCATCTTACTTTTTTTTTTGTTTTTTTTTTCTTTTTTCCTCCCCTTACTCCCCCAAAATTATCTTACATTTTAAAGACAGTTACTATATGTGGCACCCCTAATAATTTTATGATTCAGGTGATTATGTCAGTCAGAATTTATAGTATCAGGCACAAATAAATGTATTTTATTTTAGCAAGGTTTCTTAGTAAGCTTTTTGGTATTACAGAAAGTTACGGATAACAAAGGGCTATAACAAGGGAACTTAGAATCACCCTTCGGGTACAGTTCCATTATCTTCTCATGTCAGCTTCATTTTCTCAAAAAAATTAAACCTATGTAAGCTGTGTAACTTAATCTTTAATTCACAGACTACTGACTTGTTTGTAGTTCTCGGGGTAATTCATAATTCAGTTAAAAGCTGTGTTTCAGTATTGCACTTGACATGTATGAGACATTGTGCTGGCTACCGCAGTTTGATCAGTGCAGAAAGGATGTGGTAAGATAAGGTATCTAAGTGTTACAAGTTGTTCTTACAATAGCACTTATCCCTGTGGGACTGTGACTAATGGGCTCCCATAGTCCCTCTTGGGATGAGGGAAATAACAGTGGTCAGAGAGAGAGATTGATGGAGTGCTAATGGACCAACTCTTTCTTGTTACCCAGCATGTATCCTGAGGGATCAGATGTCTGCCAGATAACTGACGTTGACCAGGGAGCTGATGCCGCCTTCCCTAGAAATTAATTAGGCTGTTGGACTATGATTCTGATCCCCCATTGAATAGATCAAGAATGTTGGGAATGACTTTATTGACCTGGAGGATGATAGGTAGTGACTTGAAAAGCGAAACAAGACTCTTCAGATCCAGGGTTGTTTTTTCCCCCTCAGCTTACTCGTTTGTCAAGAACTGATTATATTGGTCATTGGGCAAGAGCAGGAATTAACTTAATTTTGAAAAGTGTTAAAATATTGACTACTTTCCTGCCAAGTCAACTTATTAAAATCATAACAGCAGATCAACCCCAAATATCTATACTATGTGGATGAAAATTTCCTAAGGATAGATACATAGGAATCTGAGTTTACCTCTCATTGTTATTTTTAAATGTCCTAAGACTGAAAATCTTTTTCCTTAGGAAAGACCAGTTTTTAGGACAACAATGTTATTTACTACAGGCAGTGTAGACTTATGTTGTTAGGTTGTACTAAGGAGATGGTAAAACTCAGACAATAGAGAGATTCCAGAGTTGAGACTCTAATCGTAGCAAACGAGTATAATTAAAATTTCATAAGTACCTAATTTCTGACAAGAAGGTAACTGTGTTCCAGAATAAATTTAGCCTGTATTGTAAGGCTTAGTACAAAGTCACATATTTTTGAATTGGAACAACATCACTCACAGCTGCACCAGTTAAAAATACCTGTACAGTCCCCTGGCCTGGTAGAGTGGCAGCTGGCTGGCGGTGCTCATGTCATACCAGCTAGGGACAAAGCAAACCCTTGTTTATCCCAGCTTGGCTTTTAGTCACTGCCCATTCCCAGTTCATGTCTTGGACACATGGATATTTAAAAACAAGGCAAAACCCGTACAAAGTAAGAAAGAAAAGTTGCCTGTTCTTCCATGCTACCTGCCTACCTACCGCCCAAGTAATGGCTACTTATTGAATGCAAAGCCTTTTGACTTTTTCCCATGTTTGCATAAGTCTCCATGTGCTTTTCCTATCTTTAAAACTTACTTATAATCAAGTTATATCCACTAGTATATTTTTACTTTACATTATATCATGGACATCTTTCCAAGTTGATCATATTAATGTTTTTGATTCCTCCAGTATATTTCTACAAATAGTGTACCTTAATGGTCACTTATTAATGAGCACTGGGTTATTTCTTTTTGCTGTTACAGAGAGTGTTCCTTTCTGTGCATGTGCTACTGTTTCTGAAGCATCAGTTCCTAGAAAGTGGGATCACTGGGTTAAAGACCGTGTGCATTTTAAAATTACTAATGCCAGCACTAAATTCTTTCCCAAAACCTTGTACAAGCCTATATTCCCCCAGGCCTCTTTCATAAAACTCTTGTTACTGCTAAATGTTTTCAACATTTAATTTTCACATATAATTAACAAGAAAACAAGGTTTTATTATTTAGTTTGTAATACACTGGTTTCTTGTGGACTCGAGTATTTTGTCATATGATATTGACTGTTTGCATTTTTTCTGTATATTGACTGAGTTATTTAGGTCTCTGTTGGTCTGTCTTATTAATTTTTAGGAATTCCTTTTCTATGAAGCATATCAGTACTATATTTGTGTTTTTAATATACTTTTTCTCCAAGTATTTTGCTTAATAGCTTAAAAGTTTTCTAACTTGCTTAGAGAATGTTCCTCCACCTCAAAATTATAAGCTTCTTTTATACTTTATTAGTAGTTTTTAAATATTTGCTAGAGGACACATGCACTTGCCCAGGAGAGACGCAGAGAAAGGGGGAGGTGAGAGCATCCCTCATGGAGGATGATAATACCACAGTGTTTTCTCCTCTATTCTCCTTTTGGAATTGTGAGCATGTGTGCACCTGCCCCCAGCATGTGTTTCAAGCTGCCAGGTCTGGGACTTGAACTGCGCTGTCAGACGTATGGGATCCAGTTGCCTTAACCACCATTCCACCATCTGGTCCTCTAGTTCTAAGTTTATTTAGAATTTATTTTTATATATTGTGTAAGATAAGGATCTAATTTTATTTTCCAGATAGGGAACCAATTGTAAAATCCTCTATTGATTCAGTCCCTCTTTTCTTACTCTTAGTACTCACTGGCTTAATTATATATCAAAGTCCCACGTGTACCTGATTGTTACTAGACTTGTGTTCTAGCCATTCTGTGATGGACATGTATTCTTTGATCTGTGTCTATGCTGCTGCTCCACTATTTTAATTATTAGTAGCACCAGTTCTTCCCAGTTATCATGCTTTTATGGAAATTACTTGATTATTCTCAAACCTTTACTCTTCTGGATATAGTCATGTCAAGTTCTCTTGCAGAAAATTCCACTCAGGTCATGGTTGGGATTGTGTTAAATTTATACATCAATGTGTGGGGTTGACATTTTTACTACTGGTCTTTATCATTCAGGAATGTAGTATTTCCCCATTTTGAGGGGGCCGCCTTTTATGTATTTTAGTAAAGTTTTATAACATTCCTCAAATAAGCCTTCATTGCTGTTTGTTAACATGTTTCACTCCTTCTCCAACTACATTCTCCTTTTAAGAAATACCTTTTAGGGAACCAGCAGTTAGCGTAATGGCTATGTCGCTGGACTCCCACGTAGTCGACCGTGGTTCACGTCCTAGACCCGGTGGCTTAAAACTCACGCTGGGCGCATGTGTGTGCATGCCCAAGATCCCGAGAGGAGAATGAAGGAGAAGGGATTGTGGCGTGACCATCCCCCCTGGGGGGTGATTTCTCGCTTTCTGTCTCTCTGTCTCTCTCTGTCTGTCTGGCGAGCACACGCGCCCTATAGCGAAAACCTCTCCAAAAAAAAAAAAAGAAATACCGTTCAGTACCCTACAATGTAAACTTAAGAATCATTTCATCTAGGTTTTCAAAGAAGATTTTTGACATATTCTGATTGAAATTACATTAAATTTCTATGATTTAAATGAATTGACATCTTCATATGAGTTTTTCCTATTCAAGCCAGTAATTTGTCTACATCATTCATTCATGATCAAATCATTATTTTAATTTTTCTCTGGTGCATGTAAAGGGACTTGTTTAATTTTTAAACAGGAAAAAACGTCTCTCATATTTATTTCTCACCTTGCATTTTCCCTAGGCTGTGTCAGCATTGATACAACCCTTAGGAGTGTGTGCAGAGTACCTGAATCCCTCCGTGGTACAGGTAGGAGTAAGACATTTCACATTGCTTCTGATCTTAGACATGCAAACAGAAGTTTTATCAGGTTTTTCTTTATTGTATTTCTTTGTTGTATTTAATTCAAAGGAACTTTCTTTTTCCAGATTAACAACTGTGCTTTTTATCTTCCTTTTCATAAATTTTGTCAAAGGGTGCATGCACTCACCAGAGAGAAGAGGGAGAGGGAGGAAGCACCTCCCAATGGGGTATAGTCACACCTTGATCCCTTTTCCTCCATCTCTTCATCCTGTCAGAATTTTGGTCTTGGACACACACATGTACCCCATGAGTTTTTCAGGCTGCCAGGGCCAGGATTCAAACTGTGTGGCCAGCTCTATGGGATCCAGCCTTGACCGCTGAGCCACCAGTCTAGCCCAACAGCTGTCCTTTTAGTAAAAATGTTATCAGAAGATAAGCAAAAAATGTTTAATAATTTTTTAAGATTATTTATTTCTTGTGAGAGATAAAGCAGCCCAGCAGGGTCCTGATGCTTTGACCCACCCTAGCCTTCAGCCAGCCCTGGACCATGGGTAAGCACATGCCCATGGACTCAGAATTACCTGCACTGAAGCTGGGACCCTTCCCATTTACCACTGCGCCACTGTCCAGCCCTAAAATATTTAATAATTTGAAGTATAGGGGGACCTCTGACGTTTAAGAAGGTTATTTACCTTTTCAATTTATCTCACTCTCTTTTTTTTTTAATGTGTTTACTAGAGAGCATATACACTCACCAGAGTGACAGAGACGCAGAGAGAGGGGGAGAGGAGAAAGCACTCCCCAGGGGGATAGTCACGCCACAATCGCATTTCCTCTGTCTCTCCTTCCTTTTAGGAGTTTGGGTATGCATGCACACATGCCCGGCTTGCGTTCTTTAGTTGCCAGATCTAGGGCTTGAACTGTGCAGTCGGCCATGTGGGATCTGCCTACCTTAACCAACACCCCATGAAGCAGCCCTCAGTTTATCATTTTATCAACTATAATTCTTCTTTTTTTCATTTCCTTATCTATGAAGTAGGCTAATACCCCTGTTCCTGTCACAGGATTATTTAAGGTCAGTGCCCTTCTATATTAAATGAGATCACTTTGGAGCAGTTGGCTAGGCTTAGTTACAAGCTGAGTCACTCACTCAGTTACAGGCTAACCACTCACTTCTGAATAACCGTAGAACAGTACATCTGTGTGCTTTCCAGCCTCTGTGGAGTTAGAAGTCAACAGGTCATAGAACAGTCAAAACTGTGAGTGTTCAGTTTTCTGATGGTAAAGGCCCATTGCACTTCTTGTTTCCATTTCAATTAACAAGTTTTGTTGAACAAATGTCATTATTGAAATACCTCTGTTTATTATTTTCTTTACAATTAAGTCTGTGAAATGCGTAACTTTTACACAGATTTTTAAAACTACCATAAATGGTTTTGAAAGCACAATGTTCTCAGGAGCAATGTTTTGTGTGCCGTTTCTTCTTTCTCAGGTCAGACTGACTTAGAGCCATTTTAATAAAGGAGATACCTTTTTTTAGTAGGTTTTGAAGTTTCTATCATTTCTAAATGTTAAATGTCAAGGTAATTCTGCAAGATTTTTAAATAAAATAGGATGACTATATATTTCTTTATTCTATATATTAAACTATAGAAATAGCCACTGTCCTTTTAGCTAATTAAGCATATAAATAAAACCATTCGTTTTGTAAGTAAAACACTAAAGAGGCAAAGTGATTGGACTGTTTAATAATTTAATTACTGGTGTTTCAATAGTGCAGGTTGGGATTAGATTTTTTTTTTTTTTGAGAGGTTTGCTATAGGGTGCGTGTACTCGCTAAAGAGACAGAGGTAGATAGAAAGCAAGAAATCACCCCCCAGGAGGGATGGCTATGCTGCAATCCCTTCTCCTCCATTCTCCTCAGGATCTTGGGCATGCATGAACACGCACCTGGCTGAGTTTTAGCCACCCGGTCGGGGACTCAAACCGCAGTCAGCTACATGGGAGTTCAGCGACATAGCCATTACGCTAACTGCTGGTCCCAGATTTTAAATGCTTACTCTTTATGCATTGCTCTGTGGAAGGGAATTCAGCATAAATATCCCAGCTACTAATTAATATTAAGTTCTTGATGAATTCCAGATTTTGTTTCTGTAAATGGAATGAACTTTAAAAAGAGTAAGAAGTATGTGACTTTTCAACCAAAGCATTTATATAACTTCTTTAATTATATTAAACTACCTAAACTTAAATTCTTTCTGCAATAAATTCATTCTGTGATACACGTTACTTGACTTAAACTAACAGTTATCTCTGCTACTTAGAAATGTATGACTTTGGAAGACTTCTTGAACGTCTGTTGCTCGGTTTCCTCTTCTGTAGAGTGGTGATAGTGATAATACCTATCTCACAGAGTTGTCGTGAGGGTTAAGTGGACTGGCACTTGCTGACAAGAACGCTGTGCCTGGCCTCTGAGCCGTAACAGCCCTCAGTCCATACTATGCAGCCGGCAGAGTGTAATGAACAAAGTCTTTCAGAAGAATTGCTGGTGTCGTTTTAATCCATTGCTAATGTATTCTTGGTTTGACAACCAAATATTATCTATCTTCTTCCCTTATCAGCTTGGTTTTTACAATTATTTCACTCATTATAGATGGAAGTGGTCATTTATATCTAGCTACTATTTAACCACTTCTCAATTCTGTTTCATTATCTGTAACCCTTCTGCAGCAGAATGTTGTATGAGTCTTATCTGTAAGCTTCATTCATATCAGCAAGCAAAAGTAGTTCACGGGCCAGCCTGTTTTGTGTGGTCTGTGCTTGTATTCACTTTTAAAAATAAAATGCAAAATACTTTATTACAAAAATAATACCCATGCTCCTAAGCTTCATGTTTTGAAAATCCATGTTCTCGGATTACTAGTCAAACCTACCCACATAAGATGGTAATGACAGAAATTGCACTTACCTTAAAGAAGCTGAGGCACAGAGTTCGTTAGGCTTCACTTGGAGCAGTACTCGCTGGGTAGTGGTAGCTTTTATACTACAGTTCACATCTGCTCCTCTCACCCTCTCCTTTGTGAATTGTCCTTCAAGAGTAACTCTGCTCTACTTTTGGGAAGATTCACATGTTTTCATTAACTGTAGCATTTTATTTCTGCAGCCCATGCTGGACCCAGTCATCCTGACCACGATCCAGGATGTGCGGAGTGTGGAAGAGAAAGACCTCAAGGACAAGGTACGTGCTGTCTCCCACCAGGTAGGCCCTCACACCAGTTAGGCCATAGAAGCAGAAGTAGGACTCGGCAAGGTTCACACACCTTTGCTCTTTGGCTTCTGGTCACATAAAATTTACATCAAATTAACTTTATATTTCCTAACCCAAAAATGCTATTTCTGAAGCACAGGTGGTTGGTGTTACCTTAGTCAGTGGAACGGATTAGTCTTCTCAGTGACACCATTCAGAATTTTTCTAATAGGATTGGTATAGAAGAAGCTTTAAAATCATGCAGTGTTAAAAGCTTATCAAAAGTTGTTAGAGACAATTTTAACATTGAAATTGAACATGATACGAGTTGTCCACCATGAATTTCTCAGACCACCCTTTCATTTGCTGCTCACCCATGTGCTCACCTTTGTATTAGAATCAAAATGCAGTAAACTGGCCATGCAGAGTATCGGATACTGTGAGGCCATTGTTACCCTATGTTCTTCTGTGTGTGGTAAGGATTGTGGTCAAAATGCTTTAAAAATTCCTTTTTCATTTTGTTTTTATTAATAAAAGAGACTGGTTAGCATTCCTGAGCTCTTGTCTGCCATTAAGTTACTTTGCATGCGCTTCCAACCGGACCTGGTGACGATCGTGGATGACCTCCGACTCGACATCCTCCTGCGCATGCTGAAGTCACCGCATTTCAGTGCCAAGATGAATTCCTTGAAAGAGGTAAGTTTTCTGTTTGTTTCTAGAAGACTTCACTCACAGACTGAGTTCTGCCAAAACTTATGGTTATTAGTATAAAAATGTTGGGAAATCAAAAGTATATGATGTGTATAAAATGGTGTATGTTTTTAGTGGTCTGTTAACAAAGCCATCTTACGTGTATTACTTTCAAAGTTCATTCTGTGAAACTTTTCAAATATTCAATGTTTTAAAAAATTTCTAGAATGTAATCTCTTACATGGTCGGAGATTTACATTTAACTTAACAGGCGTAAAACTTAAACTAAATCTTCTAACTGGGGTTGGGACAGAAATAAAGGGACTCCAGTGGTGCTGGTCTAAGCCGAGTGATGCTTTTTTAACCGGGGTTAGATCCACACAGACAGCGTAGCTGGTTTTGGTGAGTGAGAAGTGGAGCCATTACAATTCAGTTTCCCCTCAGGTTTGCCTTACTTAGGACTCTTTGCCGAATGTGAAATGAACTCACCTTGAACTATTTTATGCCGAAAGAGAAATTTATTAGGAGGAGGCTGAGCTGTTTCACATGAATAAAAGATTAAATAGCCAAACCATGAAAGGGCAAGGACATCCATGGACAAGAGGAGCTGCTAGAACTTGATCCGGCCTGCTGCCCAGGCTCTCTTCCAGTCTTGTCTCTGCTTTTATGGGCACGTTGGCCTCCTTCCATCTCTACCTGCAGGGTGGCATCTGCCATGTGGCAGAGATCGTGGCCATGGCTAACTGCCAGGTTTCAGATGCCAAATTTGCCGTCACTGCAGAGGGACTGACCCACGGACTCTTTCTGAGCTCTAGTATAGTATTTGGAGGATGTGCCCTGATTGGAGTTAGGGTAAGGTGCTCATTCCTGAGCCAGTCAGCAGTGGTCCAGGGCACGGGAGCTTTAAGAATGACTCCATGTTCTTTCTAGGGACATCACAAATAATAGTCTGTTAATTTCTAGGATCTGGCCTTTGATATCTTTTGATTCTCAGACCACATTGTTACATTACAAAAATTACAGATATTACATATATGAGGATTTCCATTATTCATGTCTGATTCAGCCACGCTATTCCTGTCTTTTTAGGTAACCAAACTAATAGAAGATAGCACTTTATCCAAATCTGTGAAGAATGCTATAGATACAGACAGATTATTAGACTGGCTAGTTGAAAACTCAGTTCTGTCAATTGCACTGGAAGGTAAGTAAAAAAAAAAAAAAAAAAAAGGGAAAATTACCTGACACAATTTAAATAATATCTTTTGCATAAAAAGTATAGACATGTACTTTGCTTTAACTTTAAATAATCATACAGTAAGTTATGATTAAATAATCTTATACCAGTTACTATTGCTTTGAAGTAATATAACAGAATTGTGTTTGGAGCCTCTGTGCCTGCTGGATCTTGCTTCTTCTCTGGTGTTTCTTCCATTAGGCAACATAGACCAAGCACAGTACTGTGATCGCATAAAGGGAATTATTGAACTCCTGGGCAGTAAATTATCTTTAGATGAGCTCACCAAAATTTGGAAGATACAGGTGAGTTTATCAGAATTATTTTGCCTTTTCCAGACATTTTTTGGACTGCAGGATTGATAGGCAAGTAGTGAGAAAACAGGGACATGGGACCTCTATCTTGCTTTGAGTCAAGTAGCTAGCTGTACCTAATCTGCTTTACGGTTTCAGGTTTTAAGAAGATTGCACAGCTATAAAAGATCCCACTACTCCCAAGAAGTTGTAAACTTCCAGTCTAATCTAGTCTTCTTATTTCTTTGATCACAGAAATCAAGGACCTTCCCTAAGGTTACACACCAATTAGAGGCAGAGCCAGGAATGAGTGCATGACTTTCCGTTATCAGTCCACTGCTGTTTTCACTGCATTTATCAGTTTTCATGAGTAATTTTTCCTATTTAACCCTATTAAGTGAGGGTGCTAGAAATATTTGAGCTTACAGATCTTACCTTACTGGGTCTCTATGTAGATTTTCTTCATTTTTTTTTAAAGTTTTTGCAGTGTGTTGTGTACACTAACAGGAGAGAGACAGAGAGAAGGAAAGTGAGAAATCACCCCCCCACATCCCCAGAAGGATAGCCATGCCACAATCCCTTCTCCTCCATTCTCCCTTTGAGATTTTGGGCACGCCCCGACAGGTACCCTGCATGATTTTCAAGCAGCCGGGTGCTTGAGCCATGGTCAGCCATGTGGGAGTCCAGTGCCTTAACCACCACACCACCTGCTGGTCCCCAGCCCAGTGTATTCTAACAGTCACTTCCCTCTCTCTCATAAATTATTCTCTTCTACTTTGTCTTCAAATATTAGGGATTTTTTTTTTTTTGCAAGTAGAATCCTTAGCTCTTTTCTCACTATTTAAGCTTTCATTAGTCAGTTTCATCCACTGACTTTGACTATATTTGTAGCTACTGACTGAATTATATCTCTAACTTAGACTTCTTCTTGCCCAGTGTAGTACATTTAAATAAGTTCCTATTATACCTTTGTGTATGTATCTCATTGGAAGCTCAAATATTTTATGTCCAAACCTAGCCACTCTTCTCTGTTTCAGTGGTAGTATTCATCTAGTTGGAAAGGCAGAGAGGAACCTGTAGTGGGCCTTGAGTATATCCATTTAATCACTGTATCAGACCGAATCTAGCCAGGAAACTGCAACTGTGCTTTGCGTTCCAGAGAAAATTGCCCACAGGGCATCGTTTACAAAGCTGTGGCTAAAGTGAAAGAGACCCAAAGAGAGAAGTAAAGAAAGAATCCTGGGGAGCAGAAGAGAAAAGAGGGTTGTTTAGTCTAAGGAAAAGAAGCTGCTTTTAAAGGTGCTTTCCCTCAGGAGCTCACCCGTCTGAGGTGTCGCCAAGGCTTCTGGATTCTCTCGCTGCCTCAGCCAGTACATGCACCTACTCTCAGCCT